TATTTGTTTTGTTTTTTAATTTTGGGTGATTTTGAATTTTACTTTGTGATTTTCTTGATCTTGCATTTTATAGGGTACTTGATTTCATGACCCAACTTATGAGTTTTAAAGATTTATTTTATTTTATTTTTTAGGTTATTTTTAAAAAACTAATTTTTAATTTTAATTTTAACATTTAATATTATATTATTAGGTCGTCAACTTTATGAGTTTTATCTTTTCTTTTTATGAAATTGTTTTGATCTCATATCTCAGGTCGCAGGTTAATCAAGTTAATCCACGCTAATTGAGTTTTTTTTTTGTTGGCATTTTCTTATAATTATATTATTAAATTAATGAAGTTTATTAAACTTATTTAAATAATTGATCCGGTCTCAATTTTTTATTGTTGTTTAAAATGCAATTATTATTTGAGTATTTTTTTCATATTAGAAAATATTTAATTTGATCTACAGCACATAAACCTCTCCAGTCCATGCCATATTTCAAACATGACCTATATATCAAAATACTTTAAGAACTTGTCACTTTATCGTTTCCTTGTAGTAGATAAACAATCTATTTTGGCTAAGGTATATACAAACCTTATATGGATTAAAATAAAATAAAATAAATAAGTTTAATAGAAGTAGTAGTTGGCAATCAATCAATTTCACTTCAAGAACTAATGCATATCATTAGAATTAATGCTATAAAGGTGGAGTCGTCTTAGCTTAGAAGCAGAGTGCATGGCTTTTAACCATATATTCGTGTAATATCCCATGATGTTTGACCAGTCCGGAAATAAAATTTCTTGAATAATTAGTTAGTTTGTTGGTTTTAATAATTTTTATTTTATTTTTTAATTAAAATAATTAATAACTTATATTTAATTATTGGTTGATCAAAGTTATTCGTGACTAATACTTGTAAAATATTTTCTTTAATGAAGATGGACTCCCTAACACTTAAATAAATATTTAAAAAAAATACAAAAATATTTTATAAAAAGATGCTCTGAGAATATAAATACAGTAGAGAATTGGAGATTGTTAACTTTTGTTATGAAGCTCTCATAATATATTTATAATCTATAAAAAGAAAGATATGCACTATAACTATCTTAATATCATTTAATGATAAATAAATATCACTTACCTAGTAAAAAAATGATAGATTCTTGAAGAAATTTTATATACTTAAAAAGGTGCAGAGAGATTATCAAATGTAATTAAATCTATAAAAACCAAGTTTTTTTTTTTCTGAGATTAGACCTAATAGAGATCAGTCTTTCTCCCGAATATGTCAAGGAAGAATGATTATTATCTTAAATTTGGCTTATCAAATTCAAGCACTTTAAGTCTAATACTCATTTAAAACCTATGTTACCTTGGACTTGACATCTTGTCAAATTCAAGTGTATTGAATTTGACACGTGTGTCAGGCCTATAATATTTTGGGTTTGAGGTATTGTCAAATTAAATATCTTGAGTTTGACACCTGTATATTTTTAAAAACCAAAAAAAAATTAAATTTTTTTTAATAAAACTGATTGAGCATCAACCAAAACATTATAATGCCACAGTAAACTAAATTCAATGGGATGGTGTTCGTGGTAAAACCCATATAAGTTTTTATAAAAGGAAAAGAGATGAAGTAGATTTTAATAAAAAATTATAATTTTTACACACATTTAAATTTGTTTCCACCATATTTTACCTTCAAATTAAATCATAGAATATATTAAATAACAAAGGCAATACATTACAGATATAAGCTATATTTGTTTATCAGAAAGTAATTTCTGTAAAACCATTTTTCAAATTTTTATATGTTCATTAGCAATTAGAAAAGTTGGTGAATAAAAAATACTTTTTAGTTAAAGAAAAATTTAGCTTGATTTCCAAGAAAAAATTTTCCTGAAAAATTTGGGAGAAAAACACTTTCTAAAAGTTGTGAAGAATTTAAAAATATTATATTATTTGCTGATTATATCAAATTTGATCCTCAAACTTTTGATTGTTATATATATATTTTGTTTTGAATATTTATTATTCAGTTTTATCTTTTAAAATTTAAATTTTTTTATTAATTTTGGTCTTTATTTTTATAACTGTTATTTACCTTTCTCTTATCATTTTTTATTGAAATTATAAAATATTAATAAGTTATTTTTTAGTTTTTTTTCATGATATAACTAAATATTAAAAAATATATTTTAATATATTTTATTATATTATTAAATATAAAAAAAATAATTTATTTTTTTAAATTTATTTTTTTTAAAATATTAGTTTCCTATAAATAAACAGGGCGTATCTTGTATTCAGTAATTAACGAAGAAGTCTAGCATGAGATTCCTCGGTGAGTGCACAGCCCTGTTCTTCCTGGAGTTCTTTTGTTTCCTCTGATCACCGTCCAAATATCTATGGTGAAGGAGAACGCGTTCGCAAGTGCCACATGCTCTGTTACTGGGTTATGTAACTTACGTGTTACTTTTTGTGCATGCCCACACGAATGAGCTCTTATTTTGTTTTTGGTCGCATTATGTCGACTGGCCCCCCATTTTTTTTTTTTTAATTTAAATAGCACGCATCGCTTGCTGTTTCAAATGGCGAGTCGCCTGATTTATTGGATTTAGCGTTTGAGAGTGGAACTGTGATGGATTATTAAAGTATTTTTTATTTAAAAAATATTAAAATAATATTTTTTTATTTTTTTATATTGATACATCAAAATAATATAAAAATATCAATAAATTTTTAATTTAAATTAAAAAAATTAATTTTTTTAAAAAATATTTTTAAAATATAAAATACGGTAAATTATTATTTTTTAAAATATTTTTAAAATACAAAATACGGTAAATTATTGTAATGATTGCAAAATTAGGATTTAAATTTTTTTATTTAAAAATTTATTTTAATTATTTTTTATCCAAAACATTTTAGAAATTATGATAAATCTATTCATATTTTTTAAAAAAACTTAAAAACTATCCCAAAATCTAGAATTTACCCAGGTTTAGATATGTTTTTCACAAACTTTAAACAAAAAAAATACATTTAACATGAATTTTCCCTTATTAAATAAAATAATTTAATATAAATATTAATAATTTTGGTGATTTAAATAAGTATTAATGATATACATATTTTTTTTTTACGGTTATAATTTGAGAACCTCTCTTAATCAATGACAATAAAATAATATAAACAAACTGACGACCTCTCTTAATCAATGATAATAAAATAACATAAACAAACTTTTATGTTAAAATTAAATTGAAAGGTATCAGAATCATATAATTTATGTTATTTTTAAATTTAAAAATCAAAATATTTCTTTTTAAATTTTTAGCATGCTATCCATGTTTGACATCATTTTTATTATGGTCTCCTTTCTTTTAATTTCACAGTTAACTAAAAAATAAGAAGCAATTAACCCCGAAAAAGGATTAAATCACCTAAAATAAATCTTTGAGCACCAAAATGACTAGTCAAAAAATTAACATTGCCATTCATAGTAATTTTATGCTGGCGTTAACGGTGCCGGCTCTTACAGTAAAACACTATAGGTGATAAGAAGCTTTGACTGTCTGCATAATGACAAAACCCAGAAATCTGTCTAACCACCAATGGGAAGCCTGATTCCTGATAATCCTAACTGCTTCCTTTTCTTAGTCACATAAATTTCCTTTCAAGTTCTAAAAAATCTAAAGAACACAACAATTAAAGAAAGAGAAAAAAAAAAAGATAGATTTTGGTAACGATTTTGCTTCACATCCATGCCAAAAAAAGAAATCGCTTTAATTATAACCACTCATTCATTCAATCACATAAATCTTAATATAATCTCCTTCTTTCTATCCAATGCCAGTGCATTGCTATATATGGAAGAGAGAGGTGTTGTAATGGGAGGTGGAGGAGAATTTGATGAGAGAAAATGATGGATAAAAGGGACCCCACATTCCAGATTAATCATCTTCTTCAATATTTATTCACTTTTTTTTCTCTTCTTTATTGCTAATATTTGTCTCTTTTGGTTTTTAGTTTCTAAACAGATACTGGGGAGTTGGTTGAATCACCTAATTGGGGTTCTATCTCAACTACCCAGATCTGTATTCTCCACCTTTTTATTTTTTTTTAAAAGCTTGAAGCTTGTTTCTTTTGTTGATTTTACTTGCCAAATTTTAGATTTTCAGAGAGTTATGGGCCTCTGTATCTAGCCCTTCTTCCTGCTACTGTATTTTTTTTCTGGTTTGTATTCTTCTTGGGATTTCCATGTATCAAAAGCCCAAATCAAATCTGAATACCCCCACGAACTTCACTAGCTCTCTCCTTCTTGGCTCATCTAATACCCCATTTTCCTTATTTATTTATTTATTGGCAGCTGTTTAAGCTGTGGGTGCACTGGCATACCCCATTTTCCTTATTTATTTATTTATTTATTGACAGTTGTTTAGGCTGTGGGTGCACTGGCGTCCATAAAAGATATAAAAAAGGGTTGAGAATTCTAATACTGCTTCTGGATTCTTGAGGTGGTTTATATGATAGCTGACATCTCACACAAGTGAATTTTTTTGTTTTCTTTTTTTTGTTCTTTGGGGTGTTCATAGATAGGAGAAAGCTTTTCTTTTTGGTCTAATTTAAACTTTTTTATTTTTTTGAAAGGTGGCCCACTTGCGGGTTTGGCGGGCTTTCTCTATACCAGTAAAACCCCATTTTATGAATTTTATGATAAAAAAAGATTGTTCTTTTTTAAAAGATCTCACTTTGTTAATATCAATATATATTTTTTTGTTTTGTGTTTTTTAGAGGTGGGAACTGTTGTTGTTGGAAGGAGGAAGGAAAGGAGAAGACTTAATTCGTTTCCTTCCCTTTCCTTTCCTCTCTCTTTCTTTGTTTAATATTTTTATTACCATTTCTTCTTCCTTTTTTCACTATTGGTCCATCCATTGATCTTCCACTATTTTATCCAATAGTTTATGTGTCAAACTTGAGTTTGATCGGCGATATAAATACCCTTTATCTCTAATGCTACTTTACTTCTTCATTACTTGTTTCTCCTTCGTCCTATTATTAAAGCCCCTCCCTGTCAAGCCTTTGCCTCCATGGACAAGTGAAATGAGATTGTTGTCATTCTGGTTTTTGAAGGACTTGCTTCTCTTCTCTTATTTGGGGTCATTAAGGAGTACCCTTTTGAAAGTTTTTCATATCGATAGAATTCCTTTAAAAATGACAATTAAGAATATGAGCCTAGGTTCAAGTGCAAGAGCAAAAAAAAGTTCTCTTGATGGTGAAGTTGGAGGGATGTCTGTTTTGGACTTGCCTGAATTGGCCTTGGAATGCATTCTTGAGAGGTTGCCTCCTGCAGGGCTCTGTAGCATGGCAGGCGTGTGTACTTCTTTGAGGGAAAGGTGTGTGAGTGATCATTTATGGGAAAAACATATGAAGCAGAAATGGGGCAGGGTTATTGGCCCTGCTGCTTCTAGGGAGTGGCAATGGCATGTGGCTTCAAGAAAGAATTTGGGAAGTTGCAAACAAGGAAAGCCAAAAGGTTTTACGAGGCTTTTGTCAATGTTTTGGCCTTCTTCATGGAGTACCCCAAAGGCTGATCCTATTAACAATAGCAAGCAGAGGAGTTCTCTTCCTGTTAATTCAATCATGTCTTGGTACCTTGCTCTTGAAACTGGCAAGTTTTCGTTCCCTGCTCAAGTCTTTAACCGCGAGGTATCGATCACGATCCTTTTTTTTTTGTTTACATTAATTAATTAGCTATAATTGAGCTTAAATTTGAGTAGTTTTTACTTCTTCAAGGCTACAAATTCTATAATTATGCTTCTGAGTTAAACACCCTCCAGAGGATTGATGTGTTAGGTTTTATGAATTTTCATCCCTGGTAGTAAATGCTACTTATGTTGTATTGCAGAATGGGCACATCGGATTCATACTATCATGCTATGATGCTAATCTAAGTTATGATCCAGGGACGGATACATTTCAAGTCAGGTAATGAAATTAATTTTCTTCTTGGACCATGATTCTCGATAGATTGTTATGGACATCATAGTTACTATTCATAGGGTGTTAAAGATTCTGGAATTAGCTTTTTTCTGTAAAAGATGTTGATGTTAAAATAATACTGATATGGTAAGTGGATCTAGCGGATTGAATTTTATATGTTTTGTCTATCTCAGGTACCCACCACATGGGAGGAGAGCAATTGCCACAGAAAGTGGTGTGCTATGGGAAAGGCTTAGAGCACCACCTTTTGATACCTCCCCGCATGATCTACATATCTCTGATTGCTTAAATGATTTACGCCCTGGAGATCATATTGAGATTCAGTGGAGAAGAAATAAAGAGTTCCCTTATGGTTTGTTCTCCATACCCGAAACTTGCTACTAATCAGAATTAGTCGATGTTTTATCCAAGTTAGATATATCAATATCAGAGTATTTACTCCATACAATAAGAATTATTCAACCCCAATATGCTCATTATTGTCTACGAAGAAGAGCTAGAGATAAGTGGATTTATATTGGTGAACTTTAAAATCTAGGGAAACTTTTTTATCATAAAAAATACTATTCTTGTCTGTAGGAACCAGAGACAGCAGAGTTCCTATTTTATATTGAAGTGATTCGCTTTGAATTTTCTATAGAACATGCCTAAATAAATGCATAATTCTTTGTAGTACATAGTTAGAAGTGTATGTTGAATATATTAATCAGATTTAAAAAATAATTTAATGTTTGATTAAATATTACCATGCATATTTGCAGGTTGGTGGTATGGTGTTGTAGGTCACTTGGAGTCATGTGATGGAAATGAAAATTATTGCCGGTGTCATAATCGCGGTGAGTTCATTTCATCTTTTTTTTCGCCTAGCAATTACCACTTTATGCTTGATTGCCTCAAAGATAAGGTTTTGAGGAATCTTACTTTTATTATGTCTAAAATCATCTTGTTGAACATTAAAAAATAACACAATTTTAGTCCGGTTTCACGTTTGGCAGCATTGGGCGAAACATTTCGAAGAGAGAAAAGAAAGAGAGTTCCAAACTGTGCCAGTACACTTGAATAATATAATCATGTTCGTGAAAAATGCAACGGACATCTTTCCATTAAACTGTGTTTGGCATAAAAATAAAGCTCAGTTTACTTTCACAGTTTGGACCCAGTTTTGGGTTTTGGGCAAGTCCTTTTCTTGAATTCGGTGTTTCAATATGTGGACCACCAAGTTATTCTATTTGATTGGTCCCAGCGACAAATCCCTGTCAAAATGTCACAGCTTCCACCAACATTTTGATAACCTCTGTCTCAGTGGAATATTTATGGCCAACCACATAGATAGAACTTAATGTCTTTTATAGGCCTCCCTTTGTTAAGTTGGAATCTTTAGCAAAGTGGGGCTGCAATAAATTTCCCATTGTAAGCTTATAATCTCTCATCCAGCTTTCTGCCTTCTTTGCAAGCTTAATGGCCTTGTATTGTCTTTAAGTAAACCACACCACTTGATGGCCCGCTCGTCAAGTTACATCATCGAAAAGAAACTCTTTTTGGCATGCTAGTTGCAACTTGATAAAGAGAGAATGTTTGTCTCTATTTGTACTGCAAAAAATGCAGTCTTGTTAAAAATGTGAAGCCAAGTTTTCATTGCATAGATGAGTCTTATTCATCTGTTTTGACTCTGGACAAAAGTTGAAGCGCCTCATGTTCTAGCCCTAGGAATTTCTGTTAAATGATGATAGTTTTTCTGTTTGCTCCATGTCTGTGATTGCAAAAGCCAAATTTATTCTTGACTGCGTATATAGGTCATGCAATTATTTTCAAGATTCGAGAAATGATGTCAATACATCTTATTTGCAATCCATGTCTATGATTGCAAAAGCCAAATGAAGTTTGTCTTTGCTTACGGTCCTTTTAACTCTAATTAACATCAAATTTCTGCGAACAGACACTGTAGTGTTGGAGTTCCACCAGTATACTCCTGGCTCACGATGGAGAAGCACGGCGGTGAACAGGAAAGAGCATCGGGAGGAGGGGGATGAGGCAGATGGATTTTATGGAGGGATCAGAAAGCTATACAACAATGAAGAGATTTCCAGGTGGAAGAGGCTTTGGCCGACTGAAGTGTTGGAATAGTCATTGTTTGCAACACTAAAGTTCCACGACAGATTCCACGAGTGCAAACATGGAAACCTATATATCATCCAAGAAATTGATTCTCCAATTGAATTTCTGCCTTGCTAAATTCAGTATAGAAAAGCAGGAAATAGGAGTTGTAATTTAGCAGCACGAATGCGCTAGCCAGCCATTATTCATCTTGTTTTCCTCGTCTCCACTTCTTACTTTTCTCGAGAAGGGTTGTGTGCCCATTTCACGCCATCCTGCAAATTATGTATACATTTACAATGGTATATAAATTTTTTAATCAAAGCTGGGAATTAATATTATGAGAACAACTTTTATGTGATGAAGAGCAAGAAACAAGACAAGTATGCTCTTGGAAGGGGGGGAAGCAAGAAGAAGAAAGCAAGTCCAAAGTGTTCGCAAACAACGTGCCATCAAGAAGCCATTAAAGCAATACAAGTCAATGTTTTATACAATAGGAATAGGAAGAGAAAAATTGTAAACCATACATTATAGCTACTACCATAATCCCACAATGATACTAGGATGACCTTATAAAATAGCCTGTACAAACAATATGGGTTATTCATTCAACATATTTTGCTCCGTTGCCCATGCACAGAGACAGCTTTGGCTTATAACGTGTCTGTGTTACCTTGGTTATCTGAGACCCTCCTTTCTCCCCATTGCGGGCAACTAACCCCATGGACTTAAAGCTTAACTTCCTCTTAGTTTCTGGCTTTGAAACTTCAACAGTCTGTTCTGTTTGCTTTCTATGCTCATCATTTCTCCTCGTAGATAAACTCCTATACAGAAAGTTTTTCATACTCTGCCTCTTGCTTTTTCTCTCACTAGGCTGTCCCTTTTCTTTGGCATTCTTTCCAGCCTTTAGCATGGACCCTTGAAGAGTTGTCTTATCGGGCTTTCGTGGCCACTCTGGGTCCATTTTCATCAATCTAGCTTTTCTTGCAAACAGAACTCCTTTGGACTCAGCTAGCCTTTTTGGACTAGCATTTGTTACATTTGGAATCCATATGCGTGTGGGCAACCCATTGAGCTCCAGTTGATTATTCAGATCCTGCCTGATAGGATCCAATTTCTTGCACTGCTTATGCATGCAGTCCATCAATTCACTTCTGGATCGTATAGGCGACATGGACCGGGCCCGAGTATGGTCGATTTTCTGCCATTTTCCCTTTCTTTCTCCCTTGACGGTCTTTAAAGCTACCATGAATGGATCAAAATCATCGTTCCACACATTCCGTCGTGGAAATGAGATTTTAATTTTCGCCATTTGGGACTCAGGGGATGTCGGAGTTGAGCTGTGATTGTGACACGGTGGAGGCTTTAGTGGTATCACCTTACCATCACAAAATAATTCATCCGCAAATGCCATGGCAGGAAGTGATTCCTTGTGTTGGTGCTTTTGTTGCTCTTCCATCGCATCTTCATATCTCATACTACCTCCCGAATCAATATCACCGATGTTGAAACGCCGACTAGTTTCGAATTCAAAGTCATCAAGATTGGAATTTGCATCTTCATATGTTTTTGGTGTGGTGGGCATGGATTCAAGATCATATGTAGCAATGGAGGTCCCTTTGGTAAGGCTGGTTGGTGCACTGTAGAAACACATATTATCGTCTAGGTTGAATCCACTTGGAGTTGTGGGTGCACTCATGAAGAAACAACAATTTGAGATTTCAAGTGCCATGGTTTGTTTTGTATACTGTATAGTATAGAGGCCTTGCCTTGGATATAAATGCCAAAGAATTATTTCCTTTTTAACAACAAAGATTGCTTGAAAATGGGATAGAGTACGGAGAGTTTTGCTCCAGAAACAAGGCAGACACTAGATGTTGCATGCATGTGTTCATGAGGGGTTGGGTCTCCTCTAGGTTCCAAAATATCCTTCAAAGATTTTGAACATACAGGAGAGATTCTCGGTGTCTGTCTCTTCCTATCTACTGCTGAAAGTCCAGTCAATGACAACAATATTATTATTGTTTATAGAATGAGAAGGGCATCATTACGAATTTCTTGCATTATATATCCTCGGTCAACTACTAGATTATACCAAATCGTGACTTCTTACTTGTGTTACGTGACAAAATGTGTGTCTTCATGATTTGTCTTCATGCCTATCCCTGTTCATCAATATGCCTGGTCTTGTAATTTAAATTACAGAATCGTTCAAGTGCCATGATTGATCTGCCGAAAACTCAATATCATAATCGAATCACGGACTAAGATGTGGCTGGAGTGTTGAAAGATAATGAAGATTTTGTTCCCAAATGGATTGGTGAACAAAATCTTCTAGCAACAAGAGTGACAAGAAGATAGTCATCAGTTCAAGTCGCTTATCATCAAATCATTCAAGAAATCTGAATCCAAACCATGCGTGCCTTTTTATCCCAGATACACATAATCGAGGAACAAATTTCACGATTGACTATGAGTTAAAAAAAAATAATCTAAAGGGTGAAAAGCTAAATTAGTGTATAGGGCATAGCTAGGAATTTTTTAGTTATTAAATAAATATACAACTATTTTTAAAAATTAATTATTAACTTATGTACATGAATTTTAAAGTTTTAATTCAAATATACTACTTAAAATATTAAAAAATAAATTTAAAAATACATAAAATTAAAATAAAAGTAAAAATAAACTCACTATTGAAGTTAAATCTTTCGATATTTTGTGAAATATAATTAATATATAATCAAATTTGAATTAATATTGTAACAATCCCTCAACCAAGATAAAATAATAATCTCATATCAATTAAAAAATAAAATAATTAAATTTTTTCCCTTTCAATTCCTCCTTCCTTCACTTGATTTTTTCTTAGATTAATATTTTATAAGCTGGACTTTGTAAATTTACAAGGTTATTTTCTTAGTTTTTTTTATTTTTTTTCTTGAATTTTTTTTATATTTTCCTCTCTTTCTCTCTCACCTTTTCTTTTTGTTCCTTTTCTATTCTGCTTTTGCCCCCTGTCCAGTCGACAACAAATAGAAAAGAAGAACTAGTTTATTTTATTTTTTAAAGATAAATAATAATTTTACCCTTAATGATTCGTTTTGCTTTTATATGATGGTCTTTTTTTTTTGTTAGTACTACCAAACTCTATTCATCCTAAAATTTTAACAAGATTTTATTCAATATATTTTAAGATTTCTCATAAAATTTCAGCTCAATCTAATAGTTGGATTGAAAATTACGTCCAATAACATAAAATTAGTTAAATTATGATTTTTCATTAAATTTATGAATTTCTTTAAAATTTCTGAAATTTTAATCTAAGTTAAAAAATTATATTAGAATACTCAACGTAAATTTTTATAATTTTATGATAACTCAATTGAAAATTACAAAAAAAAATACATAAAACTAATTAATAAAATATTAATAAAATAATCTAAGCATTTAACATGCCCCCACCCTTAAGTGCACGAGTGTTCTAGTTTCAAATACCAGACTTTTCTAAAGGAGAAGAAAAGCTCTTCTAAAATTAGATGCAGAAATTATCTCATGATTTCGATGCATTAAAACGTGAAAACGTTATAAAAAAATATGACGATGATGCTATGCTTGCAGGGAATAGGAATTAAACTAAATTAACCATAAATACCATATGGTCCCCAATTTTCGATTAAAAATAAAAATAAAAATGGCAGTAATCTTGGTTATGTTGCTGTCAGGCCAACCAGGGTTGCCTTTTTTGCAGCCCAATCGGCTCTCCCTTTTCTCTCCCCCACACATGATGTAGTGTAATGGTATTAGAGAATATAGTAATGGTTATAATTAAAAATATTTTTTTTATTTAAAAATATATTAAAATAATATTTTTTATTTTTAAAAATTATTTTTAATAATAATAAATTAAAATAATTTAAAAACATAAAAAATTAATTTTTTTAAAAATATAATTTCTATCATGTTATTAAAAATTATTCTAATCAGCTCTCTCTCCTTAATATATATAAACTGCATTCTCAAACACTGTTCTTATCCACTCTCCCTCCTCTCTCTCACTTGATATATCTTCTTTCTCATTTTCTCTCTTATCATTTCTTTTTTTGGCTATCTAAATGTTATGCACTTACCTATTAGGCACACATCTAAGCATGCACCACCCAGTACACATCACACCACACCCCACCATATGATTTACTCTTAACCACTAATCTATCAATTAAAGACAATAACACCAACTAACAACTCAATTTTTGAAAAACACATTATTCCTTATTATTTTTCTCTCTCCATCAACTAAGTTAATATGTTATTTAATATTTATAAATATCACATATCATTAAGTAAGACAAGAAAATTAGATATATTCTTATAATATATTTGACGTCATATATTACCGCTCCACATAAACACTCTATATTTACACATTATTTTTTTTTACACACACATTTCTTTTACATTTGTTAATTCAAGTATCAAGGTCCTGTCCTAATAGAGAACTTGTTTTACAAGTTAGTTACCGGTCGAAATCAAAGCTATAAAAAAATCAATGTGTTTAAGGTTTTTCAAGACTTCATCACTATTTATATAAAAGTTGGCATGCTTTTTTTAAAAGGGATCATTGACAAAATAATGAGTGTATAATTGATTGATATAGAAAATATTTTCCTTAGACAATATTTTATGTAATTTTTTGTTTAAAAGAGTTAATTGGTGTTTGAAAAATACTGCAACTACAAAGATATTTATATTTTTCTTTGGAACAATGTAATAACTCTTTTCCCCTTCACCTAAAAAACTTAATGCTAATTTCCAAAGACATTAAAGTCTTTTCACATTGTTTTTTTTTTAAATTGATTAAAGATAAATAATTATTTTCATTAAAGTCTTTTCACATTGTTTTTTTTTTTTTTCAAATTGATTAAAGATAAATAATTATTTTTATATATTAAGTGCATAGTGAAATAACCAAAATACAATTAGAAGCAAAAAAATTTAAACCTGGCATGGAAGGATATTTTTGTACTTTTTACAATAATTGTTTTGTTATTATAATTTAAGTTGAGGGACTATTTGATATTTGATCAAAGATAAAAAATAATTAAAATACACAGTAAAATAACAAAATTACTCTAAAAGTAAAAAATTTAAGCTTAAGGTCAATAAGTATTTTCAATTTTCATTTTTTTTTTTGTAATTGTATAGTCAACCCAAAGGTGCTCGTGCTCTTTAAATATCGCTTGTAGCCCTTCTTGACATCCCAAAATGCAATTCCATCGTCTCATTTTAAGAGTTATTCTAGCCTTTTTTTATTGTTGCGACGCATGTTTTTGATGGTGATTGCATTGTTATTGGTGAGCCTTTTTATTTTTTCTATTTACTTTCTTTGTCCTCCGCTGTAAATTACAGCTTGGGCATCTTTGATGCTGGTATTTTAACTTTAGTTTTTATTCTTTTGGTTTATAATTTTTTATTTTAGCTATTTTGTAAAAAAATTATTTGTTTTCAATTTCAACCTTCAATCTCAATTTATTAAGTATTATATTCTCCAATTTAATCCTTATTCTTTAAATTTTTATTTTTTTTCTTTGTCTCTTTTGTGAAAGTTTTAATGGTTTTCATTTTAAATTGATGGTATTTTATTTTCTAATTTGGTTCTTATTTTTTTATTTATGATTTATTTCTTGGTCCATTTGTAAAAGTTATCATTCTTTTCAATTTCACCCTTTAATTACAATCTTGCCTTTCAATTAAATAAAAAATTTATTTTGTTTTTTTTTTATTTTGATTATCATTCTTTTAATTGCTATTTTTTAAAAAACTTTTTGTATGATTTTTTTTTATTTTTTAAATCTTTTTGTATGATTTTTTTTTAAATTTTATCTTTTAATATTTAATTGATTGAAAATTGAACTTCATGGTTCTTTTAGATTAGATGCGATGGGTCTAATAACCCGGGAATTGGACTTCATGGTTACGAGTTTAAAAAGTTAACGTGAATTTGATAAAATATATTGAGTTGCTCGGCATTGATTACTAAGATCATAAGTTAGTTATGTTAATCTAGGTTGATCAAGACTAGTTTTTTTTACGTTATTTTTTTTATCTTTTTTTATTTTTCTTTATTTAATGGGCTATAGATCAATCTATTATTGCTTTTTTTTTTTCATTGATTAAATTAAACTCAATTTATTCATTCTTGATTAGGTGTATAAACATACAACAATAGAAATTTGGTTTTACTAACAAGATCTTTTTAAAATACATTTAAATAATGTTACCAAAGCAATTAGTTTGAAGATTCTTACTAAAAAAATAATCAATGATATACCTTGAGCACTTACAAATATATAAAATAAGATAAAACTACTATATATATATATATAGTAAGAAATGATAATAATTAAAAATTATGTTTATGATGTATTTTTATAAACTAATTTTGTTCCATTAAATCCAAAATAATTTATGTTGTAAGTTATTGAAAATTAAGCCATTCTTAATTTTTTTTCTCAAATATTGGAAATATAAGGTGTTGACTCAGTGGTAAAATTTTTTATTTGTTGTGTTTTTTTGAGTTTGAAAAATCGAAAAAAATATATTATAAAGAGTGACTGATAAAATGTCATTAATTATTTTTTAATCACTATTATTATTTTCCATTTCCAACCCCTAATTAAAATATTAATGACATAGTTTTTTTTTCAAGGATTATTAGTGTAATGGTTGGTTAATGCTTCTGTATAAAAAACTCAATGTTGAATCTTGCATTATTATATTTGGCTGTAACATGGTTCTTCCATTAGCTTTCCACAACAATTTAATTGTTTTTATTTTGAAAAAAACCCTTCTTTTATGTTCAAGTTTTCCAAGCTATGGCTTCCACAAACATAACAAAAATTAATTTTAAAAAGTTTTGTTTGGATTAAAAAAATTAACAATGGATTCTAGTTAATCGACCAACTTATGATTTTTAAAACCATAAGAACTACTTATCTTACAAAATCAAAGACCCAATTATATGGGATCGATTAAATTGGTAAATTTTAATTTAACATGGCCTACCAAGTTACCTGCCGCAGCCATTAATCGCTTCAAATTTGAACAAAAAACTTGAAAGTTCTCTAACCATTCAATCACGTGCAAACCCTCCAAATCAGACCGCAAACCCCGCAATCTCCAAAATCCAAGCTCATGAACTCAGTCTTCTCAAGATCCATCATCAAACCCAAAATCCCCGTTTTATCCACCCTAAAAGCCTACTGCACTACAAACTCTCCAACACGACACCCCTTCCTTTAAAAAAATACCAAACTTTCAAGAAACAAAGTAAACGTTGGG